CTGCACGCAGCACTCGAAAGCTGGTGTTCAGGTTCTTTAAGGAGAGGTGGAGATGGGGCAGTGGTAAGATGGTACACCTTTAGCAGCTACTGCTCTTCTTCAGCTTCTGATCGCCTCTGCTGGCGGGTGCAGGGCAGACCGGGCTTCAAGTGAGACAAAGGAGTTGAGTGAAGAGCAGTCTTGATTGCAGTCTTCATGAGCTGAGCCCCAAAACTTCTGCTTTCCAGTCTTGTTGCAGACTGCACCTCGGACTTGTGTCATGCACACTGAGCGTGAAGAACCAGTCTAGGGCCGGCTGCTGGTAGGCTGATCATACCATGCAGTTGGAGAGCTTGGAGACACATATGCATCAGCATGGGTTTACATGTATATATGCGTACTTACAGTGTGGTGAGAGAGTGAATACAATTTCAAGTATGGATTCAAACCTACCCTTAGTTAACTCTTCATACAATCTCAAAGCATTAATGTAATAAAACTACAGGTGATGTGAAAATATATTGTTTGACCCAAACCTGAGTGCTCTCAGGTTCAGGAATTCTTTTTTTTTATTTAATTTTCCTGAATGTATTTGACTCTTACTGCCTCATGGCAACCTGATGTTTGCCTGGGCAGCTTACTGACTCAGTATACTTTTTTTCCTGGTAACTCCTCAGTGCCCATTTAAGTTGCTGTTTGTATTGTGTGCTTTACAGCTGGGAAGTATTTACTTCTAGCAGGAATTTTACATTGTCACTGTCTTCTTGGCTGGTAGTACATTACTATAAATGTTCCTTGTTAAATGTGTTTATATCAACTTGTGTTGTTTAATCTCGTACTGAAACCTGTGAGTTTCTCTTAAGCCCTTAGCAGAATTCAGTGAGCACCACTTTCTGTTTAACATGAGGCTTTGAGCAATGAAAAACAGCATTCACATCTGCTTTTCCCCACCTTTAAGAACAGAAATAGATGTAGCACAGTTTTTTGCAACGTCTTTGATCCAGGCCCTCTTTGCTCTTTGAAAGCTATTCCCGATCTGACGGTCTTTTCATTGGACCAGAAGCTTTAAATGCATGGGCAAGGCTTTACAGAATCTGTATAGCTGGAGCTAAAAAAACCCAAGAATTTATTTTTATGTATTCCGTCCCTCTGGCAAAAGTCCATTGGCAGATATTTATCCCAGCCATGTATTCCGCAGGA